GCTTCATCCTAATTTGATCAGACTTGTTTTGATGCACGAATAAGGCCAGACTGACCGGTGCGACCCAACGAGTCATGAACCGGCAAATTCATAAGTGTGAATTAGACCCGCTTTTCCGGAACGGCCTGCCTCCGGTGTGTTTGCATAACTCTCGGGCTGTTATTCGGAGTCGGGGCGGGTTTAGGATATCCTAACGCCAGAAGGCTCGCATGAGGTGCAGTAGTGAGTCAGCACTAGGCAAGGATGTCAGATCTTTCAAATTACGAAGAATGCATTTACGTAGGCAACTGTTCTTTAATTTTCTAGTGCTTGCGACACATAGTCACTTCTGTGAGATTGCAACTTCGCTTCTAGAAACCATGCCCACCTTGGTACGAAGTCACATGTGTTTACGTGTACATTACCGATGCTCAGGTCACATTCAGCAAAGTTCAGTCAGTTTGTTGAATCCACTTTCAGCTTCGTTCCGATTGTTTGAGTTTCATTTTCAAGCCGACGGGAGCAGACTATCTCGAAGTATAACCTCCATCAACCATCAGCGCAGACCCAGTCACAAACGAACTCCTGCCACCAGCCAAGTACAAAACACCATCAGCAATCTCCTTTGGACTTCCCATCCGCTGCATCGGCACCGCGGTCGACACTCTCTCCTCCATCGCCTTCAATACCTCGGGGTTCTTGGTTGTCATTGGCGTCTCTGTGTATCCAGGGCAGATGGCATTGATGCGCAAACCCTGGTTGGCGTAATCCTCGGACGCGGTGCGCGTCAAACCGATGACGGCGTGCTTCGTCGTCGTGTATGCCGTAGAGAGTGTGATGCCCACAACACCCTGGATAGAGCCGAAGTTTACAATGGACCCCTTTTGCAAAGGCCTGCCGTCAATTGTTGACAAAATCGGCTCTTGCTTCAACATAATTTGTGCCGCCGCCCTCAGCACATAAAACGTTCCATTAATGTTTACATCGAGGACTCGTTGCCAGTCTTCCGTCTTGGCAAATGCGGCGCCGCCCTTGTGCTTGATGGCGATACCGGCGGCGTTGACGACATAGTCCAACCTGCCAAACTTGGCTGCTGCTTCGTTGACGACCTTGATGACTTCTTCCTCGTTGGCGATGTTGATAGGGTAGGTGAGCAGCTCAATCTTGCGGTCTTTACCGAACTCAGCTTCGATTTCCTCTTTGACTGTCTTGAGTGCGTCTGCGTTAAGATCTAGTAACGCAATACCAGCAGAGCCTTCTTGGGCGAAACCGCGGGCACATGCTCTGCCGATGCCAGAGGCTGCGCCTGTAACCAGAGCAAAGCCGGGGACGTCCATGGTATGTGATCTAAGAGGTTTGAAGGAAGAGTGATTGATGAAGAATTCGGTAGTCGTGGTTGAGGAAGCTCAAGGTGATTGATGTTATGCAACTTGTCTATGACGATGTGCTCACAGTACGTTGATGGCATCCTCAATAAGTAGTCCATCGTCGCGATGTTGCGCCTCCGGTGTTCTTGGGTATCGGGTGTGGCTTTCCATTGACGATCAGGTAGGACTTTCCCCATTTGATTCGGGTGTGTCTCGACTCCACCTGCGGCGACCAACTCCCCCGCCCGGTGCTCGGCGTCTGCGGGGTCATCCCGAGAAGCCGCGATGGCCGATAATCTTGTGCGTCAGCTGCTCTTATCAAAAGACTAAATGCGACACTTCTTCATGGGCCAAGAATTTGGGCGCTGATGGGGCTGAAGAAAGATAGAGACGTGTTTTACCCCGCGGCTATGTCTAGATCAGCATTGGGCCGCATGCGCCCTATCAACAGGTCCTTGGTGTTAGTGTAGGAACCCGATATCGGACATCACGCATATCATATTCCGCGCGAATGATAGTCAATGACTGATCAAACCTGACATTGCAAATCGATCAAACTTATTCTCCTTCTGTGATTTATTTTCGTGTGTGATAGGGTACATGTAAGTGAGCTATTTGATAATACGCAGGTGAGGCCACAGTCTTCGTGTTAGCGGCACCGCGTTGTGACGGTGGGTTTCTCCCACTTTGCAGATGACTAAGAGTTTTGCGTCCAACTGTAACAATTTGTAGAGGTCATTCCACTTCGATTGCAATTTTATGTCTCGACCACTCGTTTCTTGATCTTCTATCTAGATTTGGTTTTCCTGGATAACGGTGAACTCAAGGCTTTAGCCAATGTCTCAACTCAATGGGGGAGCCTATTGCATCCTCTTCAACTGTATTCCAAATCCTAGCAAGCCTGGCTAAGACTACTGCGAGATAATCAATATGAGGCAATAAAGAGACAACACAGAGAAGGAAGTGAAGTCCGAATATACGGTGATACCTGACTTATTCATGAATGCTAGAAAGGGAACCAACGTGAATAGAATTTTGAAATTGGCATTGCGAAATTAAAATCTACAACTTGACACCCTTGGCCAGCCTATCAAAGGTAAGCCCCTTGTAACCAGACTCTTTGACCTCCCTGCACCGCCTCTGGAACTCCTGCGCAGATCCACCATATCTAACGACACTTCTAACCTGCTTGCCCCTAATGTTCGTGTTGACACCCGTCATCCAACTGTCAACCTCGTTAACAAGTGAACCCTTACTGCACTCAAAAACATGCTCTGTCCACCCGTCCGCAGCTTCCTGTGTCGCCTCTGCGTATGTGTACCCCTTATCACGACAAAACTTCAACAAATCCACAACAACCTGAACAGCGTGCTCAATGTTTCTCGTCGCGTTGCCAAACGGCTGGTGCGGCCCGAGAACCATAAACATGTTGGGCATGGATGGCACCGTCATGCCAAGGAACGTGTAGGGTCTGTTATCAACCCAGACAGCTCGCTCGCCCTTTGGCGTTCCACTCGGCGCAATCAATGGCCGCCCATCTTTGCCTTGCCACTCAATGGCGCTAAATGAGCCCGTGATGGCATCAAATCCAGTGGCGTAGATTAGGATGTCGAGCTCATGCTCCTTGCCGTCGGATGTGATGATGCGGTCAGACTTAACCTCAGACACTGGGGCCTTTTTGAGGTCAACGAGGTGTACGTTGTCTTGGTTGAAGGCCTCAAAGTAGCCGCTCTCCAACGGCACACGACGTGTACCAAAACCGTGCGTCTTGGGAATCAGAGACTCGGCCACCTCTGGGTCGTGTACTCTCCCCCTAATCTTGTCTGCGATGAAGTTGGAATACAACTCATTGGCTTGACGATCCGTGTACGTGTCGCTAAAGAGACCCTGCCACTTGCCGAAACCCGGCTCGTTGTACAGCTTCTCCCAAAGGGCGAGGCGCTCTTCTGCCGTGACCTCCATGGATTTGCGGGGGTCCGCCATGTGCATGAAGCCTGATGGCGTGGAGCGGCAGATACCGAAAATGTTGTCATAGTCTTTCTTGAGCTCTTCCATCGTCTCTGACGAGATTTCGTAGTTACGCAAGGGGACGGTCCATGTTGCCGTTCTTTGGAAAACGCTAATGGACTTGATGCTTGGTTCCTTTGAGAGTGCGGTGATGGTTTGGATGCCAGTGGCTCCGGTCCCGACTACGCCGATGCGCTTGCCGGCAAAGTCGCGGGCAAGGTTCAAGTCTGTCGGCCACCGCGATGTGTGGAAAGATGTGCCCTTGAAGTTCTCGATGCCAGGGATGGCGGGCAGCGATGGTGTCGAAAGGAAGCCGATACAGCTGAGGAAGAAAGTGGTGATGTACTGGTTGCCGTCCTGGTCGACAAATGTCCAGTTGTGGTTATCGTCGTCCCAGCGAGCTGATTTGACAGTTGTGTTGAACTGAATATATTTGTAGAGGTCGTTCCTCTCCGCGAAGCGCTTGATATACTTGTGCGTCTCGGGCTGGGGAGAGAAGGCCTCCTTCCAGTGCCATTCCTCCAAGAGACCCTTGTCAAAGGAGTAGCTGTAGGACACGGACTCGCAGTCGAACCGGCATCCGGGGTAGCGGTTCCAGAACCACGTTCCACCGACGTCTGCACCGTTGTCCAGGACCTTTACCCTGCAATCAGGCATCTGCTCTCGGATGTGGTGCAGACTGGCAAGACCGGATAGGCCTGAGCCAATGATGAGAACATCATAGGTCTCTTTCACAGGGGTCGGAATAGAACCCATGATTTCCGAGGGGGTTGGAAGAAACAGACTGAGAAGGACTAAGTCGGATTGTAAGAGTTGTCTATAACTTGTAAGCACCAAATGTTGATAGAAATGTTAGATGAGATGCTTCTTGTGCCCCAACAACAAGATCTATTCTTTGAAGTCTGTAAGATGTCTAAATAGCCAACGGCTCGTCCTTGACACAAGGCATTTCTCTTAGCAAATAGAATTTCGCTGAGAAAGTGTCTGCACAACTTTCCCGTCGCATCTCCCAAAGCATTATCCGCCCAACTTGTTCACCTCAAACATCAGCCGATCCTGTGTGGGGCTTATCTGAGGTGGCGGCCCCAAATCGGGGATGACTTGCCAACTCTGGATTTGGGTGGTGTTAACCAAAGTTCGCCTATCGGGCCCCTCCCCCGCATCGATCAAGTCACAAGCTAGCTTCAAGGGGAATCCTTCCCTTCACAGACCCTAGTCAGGCTCTACAGCATTCTCGAGCATTCAAGGGCAGAGAATCATCGAGATCGGAAGTTGTCAGTTTATCAGAGGGTCATATGATGCAGCTAAATACTTTCCGAGTTGCCGCCGATAGTGCGTATGGGTGCGGTACCGGGCAATCCACCTTTCGCACTTTAACAACACGAAGTCACAGCTAACATGGGGGCAATAGTATTGTATGCATGTCAAAATTGTCTGTAATTGGTTTCCGTTTTCAGGACTGCAGAGAGTTCCTGGGAGCACATAGTTCATCAAAGTCAGATGAACACCATTTCGAGCAAGCACAATGTCAATAAAACTGCAAGCCCATTAAATGCGTTGCTCACAGGCATAGTGTTTTATTGAGAATTGCTGGACTTCCTACTGTGTCTACGATGTACATGTATCTTTAACATCTGCAACTAACAATCATTCCCAAATCAGAGAAATCTTGCGCCACCACGCGTGCGAATGGCTTTGCTTCTCCTTTTCGGCCTCATCCATGGCCGTCCACATCTCCGCCTCTGCTTCTACCTCCCGCAAATCGGTCGTCAAGTCAACGTCTTCAGGAGCGTACAGCCAGGGGTCCTTTCTTCCGACCGTGAGCTTGTGTCCAAAGTAAGTAACCAGGAAAAGCGGAATGCCGATATATGCAGTCAGGAAGCTGGACGCAGAGAATCTCCCGGGGTAGAACACCGTGAACCCATTGGCCAGGAGAAGGAAGCCGAATGCAATCATGGAGATCCATGCTCCGTAAGGTTGACACCAGGACTGGTAAGGAACCTTGACGCCCTGCACTTGGCAGGCCATGCGGAAACGAAGGAAGATGAAGGCGCACAACACCCAAGAGGTGTATCCAGCGGTATTTGTCAGACTGACGAACCAGTTGAAGACCACGCCAGCATCTGAGGAGACGCTCAGGTACGCAAGAAGGGTGAAGCAGCTCGATGCAAGAACAGCGTAAATGGGAAGGCCGTAGCTGTTGCAACGTGTAAAGATTTTGGGTGCGTTGCCGGCGACCGCAAGAGAGTACAGAGATCTACTGGCCATGTAGAGGTACGAGTTTCCAGCACTCCAGGCGCTCGTGAGAATACCCGCATTGACGACGGAGGGCAAACCATTAATGCCGGCATTCCGGATGGCAATGACCCAGGGCGACGCGTTAGCATTACCGGCACCAGACACGAGGCCCTCGGAGTTGGAGTTGCAGATAGCTCCAATTGCTAACGAGCCGAGAAGGTAGAAAATGATGAGTCTGTAGAAGAAGCGTCGGCTAGCAATCGGAAGGTTCTTGCGCGGGTTTCGCATCTCGCCTCCCATGACGATGATAAGCTCCGGGCTGAAGTAGAACGAGAAGCCGGAAAACACCCAGCCATAGAGGAAGGCGGTAAAGCGACCACCAGAGCCGGTGATGATGTACTCCTTGGTCGCACCTGGGTCAACCCAGTAGTAGAAACCTAGCCGCTCTCCGCTCGGTCCTCCACCAAGAATCAAGACCACTGAGAGGAGCAGAAGACCGATGAAGAGAATGATCTTTAGACTCGCAAACCAGAACTCAGTCTCTGCGTAAACAGCAACTGGTGATAGGTTGAGTCCGATGACGACAACAAGGAGAATCGTCAGCCAGACGGCATTGTGGACGTTGTTTGGCCAGTAGTTGATAATGACTGAACCAACGGTGATTTCGTAGGCGAGAATTATGCCGAAAGAGTACACATAGAGCCAGCCTAGAGCAAATCCAAGAGACCGGGAAGTGTAGCGGTTGCAGTAGTACGACATGGAACTACCCGAGATGGGGAGAAATGTGCCAACTTCCATCACAGCTGTGACTATTCCGTAGACAAGAAGAGACGTGAGGGCGTAGGCCAGGAAGAGAAACGCCGGTCCGCCAGCAGCGAGGACCTGGCCGGATCCTACGAAGAGACCAGTTCCGATGCTGCCGCCAATGGCAATCATCTGGGCGTGTCGGGACTTGACATTTCGCTTCGTGCCACCCTGGGCGACGAGATGAGTCTCGCCGTAGGTATTGCTTTCGAGTCGGCCGAGGTCTTGGTCGTGCATTTTGCCATCGTTGGCAGTGTCTGTGTAGGCTCCCTCCTTCGAAAAGGGGGTTGCCGTGTCGTTGTCTAAAGCCATTGGAGACTGGGTCGACGAAGGGATTTCGGTGAGATTGATTCAATTATACATTCGAGGCAACTGAAGGAGCTGTTTGGTCGTTAAACCAAGTAAGGTAGTTGAGTGCAGAGTCTCTCTCAACTTAAGTCTACACTTGCACTGAGTGAGGGCATCCCCTTGTCTTTTAAACTGCACATTACGACCACGTACACCGAATCCTACCCAGGGACTTTAAGGTGAACCTTGTCTAGGCTGACCAGGGAGACCAACACCGATACCACTTAGTGCCGACTCAGCTCGCTGTATTCTGGACGGAAGATATTGCAAGTCTTGGAAAAGCATGGATTGAGATAAGTTCCAGCCGTCCCTGTTCCTAGCCCATCCGGGGCATTAGGCGACTTGGCGAAGATACGAAATGTGATGGTCTCGAGTCAGATAGGAAAGCTTTCCCAGCTATCAGACGCCAAAACATGTACCCCAGGTTTACTATGGGGTCACCGGGTCGTTCGCTATTCCCCCGCTCTTATCAAAGGCCCCCGCTCTAACGGATGCGCTAAAGCCGCGTTGCGCATTTCGTTGCGCCCTATTCGTATCTCTCCGCGGACATCCATCCCGTCATATTGGTACAACCCTTGGCGAATATGTTGCCCTCAGCCCCTTGATATAACTTTCCATATCCATTTGCGGAGTCAAGGGTATCAGCAATTGATATCGCAAACGTTCAACTTACGCCAAACCCTCCTGTCGCACCCCCATAAACCAAACAGGAAGTGGAATCCTGAGCCAACTCTGGCTCACCCGGAATGGCCGATGCCAACAAACCCCGACTCTCTTTGCCCAAGGATGCGGACGCCCGGCGCAGTCGGTCCTTTGGCGGATGTGGAACTGTACGTCAAATCACCCATCACGCTGGTGAACCTGTGAAGTCTGAATAGGCCGTAGACTGGAATCAACGCGCTGACCTGCTTCAGTGTCGAAACCGCCGGATGAAGTGTGACGAGGGTCGGCCGACGTGCTCCATGTGCAGAGCCTCCAACCTCACATGCAGCGGCTATGAGAAGAACATCTTTTTCGACTTTGAGGAGATTCCGAGCGTCGGAATGGCGCGCTTTAGGAGACCCTTATTGACAGAATCCGAACGCGAGTCAATGAGTGACGATCTCGTCTCCAGCATTCCGCCGGCTTTGACTCTTTGGCACATTGCCCAGATCGAGGACGAGTGCGAGAGGACACCACTATCCCAAAGCGTTCAAATCAGTCGAGGTCCTTTCGGGGCCTTCAGAGTACATCGACTCTCAATAGAGTCTTCAAAGGCTGCCCCCGGATCAAGTCCAGAATCAAACAACCCCACAGTTGGCAGCCCTCCAAAGGCCGCTAAGGAGATCGGCGAGGACAGTCCCGAGGATGCAGACGAAGAGCTCATGAATTCATCAGACGGTCCTCCGGCACAAGAGACAACGCCATTGCTTGGGCCGGCTCTTGCCTGCTTGGACCATCGTCCATTGAGCCCTTTGACTGAATGGTGGAACACGAACGAATGGTGGAACATGGGCGATCTCCCAGACGTGAACAACTGGTGGGACACGCCCGTGGAACTAGACCGCGTACGTGATATATCCGACAATGTCTCTTTCTCTGGCATGGAGCAATATCCGAGGGTACCCATGCATGTTGCTTCTCAGGATGTTCAAGTTTGTATACCGAGCATGTTCACAGACACTCAGTCTCAACAACTAGCTACGCCAGACAACTGCTCCATCGCCCCCACAATCGACTACGCTGTTCCTCATGATGCCGTCTTCCTCCTCAGACACTACTCTACAACAGTCCTCCGAGGCTTCACGCCCTTTCGCCACAGCAAAACGCCATGGCATATCCTATTCATACCATACGTCAAAAGTTGCCTAGCAGCACTGACACTCGGAGACGACATGGACCACGCTAGCCTAACAGCATTCTACGGCACGCTCGCCATCAGCGCCTCCAGCCTCGGCGGCATCTCCAACTCGCGCAAGTGGTCCGAACAGGCAAACAACTACAAGCAGCGCGCTCGCCACCATGTCCGGCTCATGCTGCAGACGGCCTACGATGTTCCCAAGAAGGCCAAGTACAAATCGATATTGATTGCGTTTCTGACCATGGTGCAAATCTCGAGCGTCTCCGGCAGCCGTGATCAGGTGGAGTGCTACCTTCTAGAAGCGGAAAAGTTCATACGCGTCAAGGGGCTCAACAGGAAAAAGTCACGCAAGGTCCGACTGCTGCATCACTGCTACGCGTTCGAGCGGGTCTTGCACGAGACCACGTTCCCGGGGAGCACGCAGTCTCCTCATCGTCTTCATGTGCGCAAGGTGATTGAGGCCAGCAACGCCAGTGCCTATAGCTTGGACAGTCTGTCGTTTCAGCTGACGAGCTGGAACAACCTCGACCAAGAAATGCTCAAGGTCAAGGGGCGGGAGGAGGGCGAAAATGATCTCCATCTCCAGATCCCGGGCGTCTGGCTCGCAACACTGTATCCGGAAATCTTTGGTATCCCAGAGATCTATATGTTCCTCCTTTCGCTCGTTATCCGGCTGGCTCGTTCAAAAGAAGACCCAGAGTACTCGAGTCCCGCAGGTCTCAAAGAGTTCATGTTCCGCGCCAAGGCAGTCGAGAGACGTATCCACCAACTCAGACGGCAGCCCGGGTACGTGATAGCAGACTTGCCAACCTCGGACCCGGAGATGCAGCACTGCCAGCAATTCCTAGATAACCTCTCGCAAGCCATGCGTTTTGCCCTGACTATATTCTTCTATCGGAAGGTGTACGACGTGGAGGCGGACATGTTGCAGGACAAGGTCGTCGGTGTTCGGGATTGCTTGCTGCGGTTCGAGGCAACCGAGTCTGAGATGGGGTACGGGTCGGCCAGGCTGGTGTGGCCTGCGGTGATTGCGGCGAGCGAGGCGGATGACTTAGAGGTGCGGGAGTCGTTTGCACAGTTTTTCAGGGACTGGGCGCGTCGGAGCGGTCTTCGTATCTTCAGCGATTCACTCGCGGATGTCGAGAGACGGTGGGCGGAGAAGGAATGTGTAGATAGCGGCGGCACCACCGAGACCATCTTGATAGCGTGAAATGCATACTAGTGGTCCTCCTGCAGTTTACGTTTTCAAATCCAGAGTGATTTTGTGTGTAAGTAGGTTGCATTCTTGCAGATGATGGAGGATGTGTGGCTGGATTCGCTGTGAGCAGATAATGCTCGACTTACCCCTTTTGGTGGGGTCTTTGCCACTTCTGTAAGGGGATAACTTTCCTATTCTACATGGGCTTCTCCTGTGTAAGTTTCTCCCCCAGATACCCCGCGCTACTTCATCAGAAACAATTTCCGCTCGGAAACTTGCCTATGGAGTCTGGCTATCATCATGCCGCAGACCGGTACCTCTACTTAATTAGAGGCACAAAGGGAGGCATCAAGCATACTTGTTCATAGAGACCAGCTCCTCACAATCGTACCCTGGCACACATTTACTTCACGCAAACACTAAGTCCGACTACACCATGTCTTCATTCCAAGGCAAAGTTGTAAGTCGTGTACACTACCCACTTCCTTGAATAGCATGCTCATGTAATTTTCGGGTAGATCGCTATCACTGGCGCTGGCTCCGGCATGGGCCTCTCAACGGCCCAGCTCCTAGCCTCCCGCGGTGCTAAGCTGTCATTGGCGGATATCAACGAGGACTCTCTCAAGGAGGCAATCTCGTCTCTGGAAGATAGTGCCAGCCACATTTACGAAGTTGTTGATGTAAGGAAAGGCGAAGTCGTCAATACCTGGATTCAAAACACTGTGAAAAAGCTTGGTAAGCTGGACGGCGCTGTCAACATGGCTGGTGTTATCACCCACGCCACGCCCGTTGCAGAGCTCACAGATAAGGATTGGGATTTCGTCTTTGAGGTCAATGCCAAAGGCGTCTTCAACTGTCTGAGGTCACAACTAGGAGTTATGTCTGACGGAGGCAGCATTGTAAGTTTCCTCTCTACACCCGACTTCTAGACCGGCTGTCAGGCCGTCCGAACTACAGCCTTCGCCTGCGACTACTTCAGAAGCTGATATGATGCTTTTCCATCGCAGGTATCTGCAGCGAGTGTGTTTGGTCAATTTGGAGCTCCTGGCAACGCCGCATACTGCGCTAGCAAGGCAGCCGTAATCGGGTTGTCAAGAACAGCAGCCAAGGAAAATCAAAACATTCGCGTGAATTGCGTGTCACCTGGTAAGTCGTTTTTCCCCTACTGCTTTTTCTTCGTACGGGATCATCTGCCTCAAAAAGTTGCAAAGCTGGCGATAGTACAGAACTAAGCTAATGTTGTTCTATAGGCTCTGTCAACACGCCGTTATCTCGTGGAGAAAATCCAGAAGATGTGAAGCGCGGTTTGCAAGTGACCGCACAGAAGAGAAGAGCAGAGCCTATCGAGATTGCACGCGTTATCGCATTTCTTCTTAGTGATGAGGCTTCTTTCGTCACAGGAGCTGTATACAATGTTGATGGCGGTTGGGTATGCTAAGCTTGGATAAATCTCAGTGGAGCTTCTCTTAAGCCCCATCTCTGGATGAGAATTATGATTTTCTTCAACGAATTGTTAACCATCTGCGTAATGCAATGTGCAATCATACGACATGAAAACAGAGCCTTGAAATCACAGCTATACTTAAATTCATGGGTGCCCAATGTTTTTACCTGAACATATGTATTCTTGGTGAACAAGGACATCCGCATAGCTCATTTCTTTTCTCTAGATCTGAAGAAGCGACTGGCATCAGCTTGGCCAAAAGACTCTCTTATCATCGAAGCACGTGAAATCCGAGGTCTCTTGGACGTACTTCACAGCATTAATAGTGGAGGACTTTTTGGGCTTATTGTCAACATGGACTTGAGATTCGTCGAAGCTTGATGTCAGAAAATAAGTTATCGGCTTATGATACGGATGGAAAGTTGGCCTTTCGATGAAGTATGCTGCAGGGAGGGGCAAAGCATTTTGCTAGAAACTGCACCTTGACAGATAGACAATCAGGAATAGTCTATGCCATTCTACGGTGCCGTCCTTGACGTTCGATGGTGAACTTCGCTTCAAGTCCGATGTGATTATCATGCAGTTCAAAGACATGCCACATAGAGTAAATCGAAAGTGTAGCTGAATAGTAATAATATTTTTGAGCAGTCTTGAAGGCCTCTTGAATATGTGATCATAAGTAATGAGGCGCCTGTTTCTGAAACGTTCGATTAATACGACATATGTTTGGTGGAGTTAAGATAACACCTGAAACTGGAACCACCGAACTTTCCTAAGAATGCGAAATATAATCGCCTAGAGTTCCATAGAGTAATGAACGAGTAAAGACAGAAATTATCACAACAGATTGAAGGGGGCACACCGACCCACCTCGCATGAAGCCCCCTCTGTTGGACCTCGGCCAGACCAAGAACCGTTGTCCAGACCATTCCAGTGCGGACAACGGCAATAGTCTAGCTTCCCAATTTCCCATCAGTGCGGATACTAAAGGTTTCAGATCATGGAAAGACTATTAGAAAATACCACAAATCCCGTTGATGCGCCAACTCGGCCCGCATACGGATCGCCCGGAGCGGCTGACTTTGAACCTATCGATTGACAGTCTAACAATCTGACAAGTGATAGACAGATTTCAGATCGGCTGGCTCCGCTGTCAAGCCCGAACCCTTGGCATCACGTTTTGCCCGATGAGTCGCGAAAAAAAGTTGAGACAAAACTCGCAAAGTTTACACAATAGGGGATAGCTCCAGTTCATCTGGTCATCCATGTCTACCCACACGACTTGCATTGCAGAAACCTGGCGTGCGCCTCCCCTCCTCCACCCCCAGACAACCCACCTGTTGTGCTTACATACCCCAAAGTACCGGCCGGTTTGCGCATGCAGGCTGCACGACTCCAACGGTCGCTCAGCTTGGCTGTCTCTCTTGGCTCTCAACGGGCAAACCAATAAGAACCTGCCATTGACTCGAGTTATTGACTTTGCAACTCTGAATACGCTGCACTCAATCTGGCTCCCCATGTATGCGTCGCCCGAAGCGACCTAGTCCGGCCTCTCAGAGCCGAGGCATCCAACGTTGTCACCAAGTGAGGCGTTGCGGGGTGCTGCGGGGGGGGGGGGGGGGCACTTCAAGATTGCAGCTCTCTACCGGCTTGGGTCAGTGTGTCTTGGTATTCCAGAGCTTGGATCGTGCATAACCAAGAGAACCCTTTTGGAGAGAGTGGAGTAGATTCTGCGACAGATTGGTAAAGTGGTAACCTCCTATCCATCGAATCTCCAATAAGGCTCTCGGACTATACCAAGCGCGGGTTCTTCTGGTAAAGGGGGAACATGGCCGTTTCTTGTTGGACGAGACACATAGTCGAGTTGTGCTCACCACCAGACATATCCGTAGGACCATGGGACGATGAGGGCTAATTCGAGGGGCATCGTAAGCGGGCATATCCCCCCCCTCCCCTCATTCCAACATCACCTCTATGGCCTCTCTACAAGTCATCCAAGTCTTGTCCCGAGGTCTCTCGCAGTCTGCTGCAACCAAACAGACTCGCGGAGGTTCCTCCGAGCCATTCCCAATTCGATGTCCTGTCGCGAAATGGCAGCTCAGCCAGCTCTCACGTGGCATCGCTGTTTCTTGGAATTCTTGAACGCATCTAGCTTCACCGACTCCTCAACCTCCACACATTGGGGAAATGGCTTCGATATTCAAGATGCGACTGGCGGATGAATCCAACGACCGTCACCGTCTCCACGATGTGATCATTCAACGAGCCCGGTTGGGGGAAGGTCGTGCCGACTTCTGGACCTGCCTCACGAGCAAGACCGGCCAGGCGTGTGAGTTGCAAGACATGGGTTGGGCACATTCTCTAGGCATCGAAGATATTCAAGCTCTAGATAAACTTGGAAAGAATAGCAACCTGGAAACAAGATAAATAGTCGAGCAAGATCCCACCGGTAGACTCTTGATATCTTCGTTTCATCAGACTCAAGCTCTCGCTCAAAACCTGAATCCTCCTCTCCTTCGCTCAAAGCCTAGCCAGCCCGCTCCCATCTCCGGACTCCAAAACTCGTTTCTCAAAAAACCACATTCAAAATGAAGTTCTTCAGCATCCTCTCCCTCGCTGTTACCCTCGCCGCCGCGGCCCCAGTCGAAGTCGTCGACACCGGCGTCGCTGACCTCCAAGTCCGCCAGACGGGAGCGACCAGCAACGAGCTCGAGTCCGGTAGCAGCTCCGCCTGCCCCAAGGTCATCTTCATCTTTGCCCGCGCCTCCACCGAGCCCGGTAACATGGTAAGCCGACCAAACTCCTGACACGTAAACGAGAAAAAGGCCTTTCCCAAAGCTAACCTCGATCGATAAACAGGGGATCAGCGCTGGCCCCATCGTCGGCGATGCCCTCAAGAGCCGCTACGGCTCGAGCCAAGTCTGGGTTCAGGGCGTTGGCGGACCGTACAGCGCCGACCTGGCTTCCAACTTCCTTCCCGAGGGAACCAGCACCGTCGCCATCAACGAGGCCAAGAGGCTCTTCACCTTGGCCAACACCAAGTGCCCCAACTCTGCCGTCGTCGCCGGCGGATACAGGTTAGCTAGACCTCAGAGACGTCCCCCGTTTCCTCTTTGCCCCTTGCTGATATGGTACCATGAACAGCCAGGGAACCGCCGTCATGGCCTCGTCCATCTCGACTCTGAGCTCGACGATCCAGAACCAGATCAAGGGCGTCGTCTTGTTCGGCTACACCAAGAACCTCCAGAACCTCGGCCGCATCCCCAACTTCCCCTCGTCCAAGCTGTCTGTCTACTGCGATGTTGCGGACGCCGTCTGCTACGGTAAGCAAGCCTTGTTTTCCATCCTCGAAGACGTCAGAGAAGCCACTAACACGTCCAGGCACGCTCTTCATCCTGCCCGCGCACTTCCTTTACCAGACTGATGCGGCCATTGCCGCCCCTATCTTCTTGGCTGGTCGCATCGGTTAAGAGGCTTGAGCACGCAATCAGCTCCGCAACGACTGTAATTCGGATGCACTAGGCTTTGATCGAGGAGGATTGTGGTTGAAAAGTGCCGACGCATCGATTTCTGTGGAGCACGGGACTCGCTTGCTGGAGACGGAGTCTGAAGAATGGCAGCAGAATGGAATATGGAGGGTCTGGGTTGGATTGCTGGAGCATGATACTCACTCATTTGTTGTCGCTCATTTTGTTATTACTCTTGCCTTTCTTGCCACTCACTTAGTTTAGCTATTTCATGCTTCATGAACGCCCCGACGGTGGACGAAATGCAAAGGATATTCTTATTGTTGCTAAATGGGTATCATTGAGTCATTACTTCAAAACAGATGCTATGCCAGAGATGTTGCGCCAATTTTCATGCTTTCTTCGCCCTGCCCCGAAGGAAGGCTGCGTGCCGTTGAGAGTGATATTTTACGTCTGCCGGGTGCAGCGGGTTGTACACGATCCGGCACGTCTTGCACTCCATAAAAGTAGGTTTCGAAGAGAGGTTGATGGTCGTCTGGACAGTCGGAACAGGCTTTGTTCGGGAGGCAGGTTTCTTCAGCCTAGCCTGGGATTCGATCTTTCCGAGGTCGGCAAGCTGGTTTAGTTTGCTCTCGCCGGCGTCTTGCAGCTCTGGGGCGCCTCGTGCCCTCGTCCTGCGAGTGTGGAATGATTTTTGTCCAACGACGATACAACCGTCTTCGTTCTCGTCCTTCTCATCCTCCAAAGGGTCCGACGAATGTGACAGTGGCGTGCTGTGTCGAAGCCTCAGACGGCGAGGTTCCTTGATCTTTCTGAAAACGGGAGGCGATGAAGGCGGGGTGTTGACCAGCTTTTCCGAGTCGGACAAGGGGTCGGAGGCTTCAGTGGCCGAGCTTGACCGGCATGGCTTGAAGTAACTTAAGATTGAACTCTTGGGTATGCTGCTTGATGGCGGCGCGGATTGAGCGGGAGGAAGCCGTGGGAGGTCTGGCGTCCGCGTTGCTGGTTCGGTCTCGGGTTTGCGCTTCTTGAACAGGAGGGAGCCGACTTCTTCATCAGCTGCGCGCGCACGTTTGCTGTAGGTTCTGAGAGTTCGTCTACAAGGCGTCAGTTTGGGTCCATACCGATACACGCAGCAGGTCCCATACCTCTTATCGGCTGTTGATTTTGCGGAATCAGGCCCAGACCGCTGGCTGTATTGCTTGATGGTTAATGATATTAATGGAGGTGCAAAGTCCGTGGGAACGCGAACCTTGTGTCTGCGATTTGATCCATGCCTTCAGCCAAGGCAGGAACAGTTGTTGTCTAACAGAGAGATGTGCCGAATTTCAGGCGCATGTAGATGGGTATGGTGGTACGCGACGCGCGCGCTCAGAGCTTCGTGTCACAGGGATTTTGGCGTGGTGATGGAAGTTGATTACAGTCGAAACGAAGCGAGAGAGATCGTGGAGACAGATCAAAGGATTAGGAAGGGATTAAGAATTACAGCATCCGAAAAACAGGTAAAAGAGGCCGAGGCTAAAGAGAGATGTAGAGGTAGCGATCGGTCCCAGACCGGGGGGAGCATCCAGCCCCACTCAGAGCGCGTCGCGCTAATTGACGTGCAGCAACGCGTCCAAGCGCGCACCTCAAAACTTTCTCCACGCCGTCACGTGTGCTAGATCGCTTTCTTACCTTCGGTATGACGGAGGCTCTTGACAGAATACTACTCTATTTTGGAAACATTGGTCTAGAACCCCCGGGCGACATTGGCCTTATGGTATCAACTTACAAATGCAGGTTTTGGCCGTTTTCCTGGCCTTGCATAGGGATGTCGTAGTAACATGAACTAGAGCAGTTTGCCGGCACCTCTGGATATTGCAAGTGATGCTGCCAATAACCTTTCCATTTGGTGGATTCTACTGCTTACGAAAGCCCCTTTAGTCTTCGCCGTATGCCTTCATCTGTATCTTGCGATTTCGTGTCGAGAAGGGTAGTCGCTTCTCCGGCTGGATCACTCTTACTCTCCTTACCCAGTACCCACGACTGCATCACCTCTCTGATTTCTTCCGGTTCTTTCGTCTTGGACTTGGCCTCCCCTATCCTCCAAACATAGCCCGAGTACACAGCGACCTCTGCTATCAAGACGACAATGGCTCCCCCAAGCGTTAAGAATATTCGGGCAGTGACATTCCACCATCGAGCCGCTATCCAGATGGTGGCCGCGACACCAATGATGCTTATGAGAAAGTTGAGAATGACCATCATCTGCTTCTGCACATCCCCGAGCGTCACCTCGTCATCGCCATTGTCTGCTTCGTTCAAAGGACGGTTTACTTCGGCGAAGGCATGTGCTCGGGCGGCGGCACTGGGAAACTGCTGAGAAAAGGCCTCCATCCGGGATGGTTGCTTAAGCATGCGCTGGTACGTTCGTTCTTCTTCCTCGCGTCGCAGGCGGGCCATCAGGGCTTTGTACTCGGCGGACTGTGAAGTTATGGTTAGCGACTCGGAGTAGAGTAAGACTTGTCCGTCTTGACGTACTGGTTCAGGCTTTGGAGGTGGCGGGGGTATGTAGACCCTGGCGCCTCGCAACAGTCCCTCCAAACTAAAACCCTCGATACCTTCCATCTTCAGACTTTTCCATAAATCTAGTATCTGGCTATGCGTGACGGGGTTTCCAACAACGTAGTCGCCAAGAATCGGCTCCTCGGCTTTGACTGTAGCTGCGGTGTCGCCGGTAGTATCTGACGTAGTTTCCTGCTCTGCGTCCTCTGGTGTCGCCTCGATTCGCCGTCCGAGTCTGACCTTAGCCAGCTTCTGCTGACCTTCGGCAATGGCGGATGTTATCGTCAATTGTACCATGGCTGCTGATGTGCTCGTGTCGCCTTTACGAGGTCATCTCATAACGATAGGCTCGTAACTTGGCGATACCTGGAGACATGCAGCGCCAACAAACAGGTCAGACACGGTCAAATCGGGGTAATAATTCGGGCGTCGGGGCGCGCCTGCCACCTCACGCTGGATGCAACGACCGAGGCAGCTTACTGCGTAGCTCCTGCTCCAATGGAAGCTCAAGTTAGTGGCCATTGAACCAATCAAAAGACCGGGGCCCCACCACTTTTCTCCAAAGATACGTATCGCCGGGGTCCGCTTGCCCCCCTGCCTTAGGTAAGGGGAGCACAGGAATACCCGTACTCCGTACCACCAAAGGGAAAGATCGGATCTGCTGCGCAGCTGCTGTGGCTTGAATTTCTCGCCGCGGGAGGGAAGGAGAAAAAAAAAAGTCATCGCCTTGTACCATCTACCCGCCTTTAGCTGCCAATTGCCTCAACCACGAATCTTGAGCACGGTCTACTTATTCCAGATGCTGTTGGACTCTTTCGCGATTCTTTTGACACTCTTTTGATTCCCTTCAGACCACTACAGGAGCCATGCAGCTCCGCACGGGAGCAGCGGTGCTGCGCAGCACTTCGATAACGTCACGATCTATCCTCTCCTCTTCTTCCTCCCGATGTTCGCAATGCCGACGAATTACTCCCCTCGATGCTCGGATACCTCTCACCACTGCCCTCTACCACTCTTCCTCGAGACGGTCTTCAGCATGGGGTGCCGCCGTATCTGTTGCGTCCAACATGGCTGCGAATGCCGTCAACCGCGTGATCCCTAAGGGTGACATGCATATCGATCCTCTGCGAACAGTGGCTAAGGAGATGAAGTTCTTGACGGGCAACATCCGGAAGCTTCTTGGTTCCGGCCACCCGTCTCTGGATCGCGCCGCCAAATACTACACACAAGCAGAGGGCAAGCACATGCGTCCTCTTATCGTTTTGCTCATGTCGAGAGCCACCGCCCTCTGCCCCAAGGGTCCCCGGCTCCAATCTGGTCAAGCCATTGGTAGTGTTGATACGGCGATATCTCCCCCGAACATCCTCGTCGACGTCAATCCGAGCTCGCCTTTGACAAGCGCCGCCCCCGAACCTGCCGAGACCGAGTCTGACATCCTCCCGTCCCAACGCCGCCTGGCCGAGATCACCGAGCTGATCCACACGGCATCCCTGCTCCACGACGATGTCATTGACCACTCCGTCGCGCGACGCGGATCCCCTTCGGCGAACCTCGAGTTCGGCAACAAAATGGCTGTCTTGGCCGGCGACTTCCTGCTAGGCCGCGCATCTGTCGCCCTGGCCCGTTTGAGGAACGCCGAGGTTGTCGAGCTTCTCGCCACGGTCATAGCCAACCTGGTTGAGGGCGAGTTCATGCAGCTCAAGAACACTGAGCGGGATGAGCGTAAGCCAGTGTGGTCAGAGGAGGCGCTCACCTACTACTTGCAAAAGACCTACTTGAAGACGGCTAGCTTGATCTCAAAGTCATGCCGTGCCTCGGCAATTCTCGGCGGGTCAGACGCCGCTTCGGTCGAGGCAGCATATGCCTATGGTAAGAACCTAGGACTCGCATTCCAGCTGGTCGACGATATGCTCGACTACACACGGAGCGAGAAGGAGCTGGGTAAGCCGGCCGGCGCCGACCTTGAGCTTGGTCTCGCGACGGCCCCTCTACTATTTGCGTGGAAGACGAATCCGGAATTGGGTGCTTTGGTAGGCAGAAAGTTCGAGCAGGAGGGTGACGTCGCCAGGGTAAGGATGAGCGCGCGCAGCAACAGACCCTTGGATTTGGAGAACAATCTGACTAACACTGTTTCAGGCACGCGAGTTGGTCCTCCAGAGCGACGGTATTGAGCAGACGAGGGCACTGGCCCAGGATTATTCCGAGCGGGCTATCGCAGCCATCAGCGATTTCCCTGAGAGCGAGGCCAAGGACGGCCTCATCGAAATGGCCATGAAGGCATTGAAGCGGACAAAATGAGCGACTGGCGGTGCTGGCCGATCAGAAACCTGTACAAAAAAAAAAACCAAAATCCGGAGTGCACGCATTGTGGTAATGTGCGCTCAACACCACTGTACAACAGACCTTTAGGGCTCTTGGCAGAGTACATGTAACGATATTATACAACTAGACGGCGCGGCGTGAGGCCAAGGGGGGAATATCATCGGGTTAGATGGCACAAGACTTTAGTGCAATACCACAGACAACTTCCCTTTTTTGATGCGAACGGGACTCGGCATGTGTGCGCAAGGGACGATTTTCTGAAGGGAAAGATGATTATCCCGTGCAGGACAGCCTGCTGTACGGAACGCCAACGACTCTCACCTGATTGGGGAGATGGGAAACTTTTACTCGATCAGAACTCGGTGAGGTCTAGACGGCAGTCGTGACGACAGGGTTTAGAAAGGAGACAACGGCGAGCTCCGTGGAGAAGCGGTTTCCATTACGTTGCTGGGTTGCTTCTAGATGCTCACTTCCAGACGCAGCGCCGCAGAAGACGGCACTGTGATGAGATGCATGCATGGATCGGTCAGGGACCTGCAAAGCTTACACGATAATGGTCGAGGCCCGATCCGATGCTCGCGGAACTTTGACAGTACCTCAGCCAGCTAGCCAGCTCTGAGAAGGTGACGACCCATAATCTTTGGATGTTTCGTCTAGACCTCCATCCGGAGGACAAAAGTGAAAAATGAAAAAATTCGCAAATACGTCAAGCACGGTTCAAACAAACCATATGTAGCTGCAGTAGCCGTTCCGGAAACGAAGCATGGCTGTTTCCCGGAGGTTGGTAAACGGATGAATGGTGTGGATCGGAAGAAAGGGAGCCGGCTGTCGGGGCCGGAATCGCTCGTCCCAACAAATGAGACATTCCTCGGTTGGAGATGACTCGGTCGTCCAAGACTCCACGGGGGCGCGGCGGCTGTGTCACGACGGCGCCGGGTGAGTGGATCTCTTTTTTTTCTTCTGTCTTCCATTCGTTGTCCAATATCGGTAGTCGGTATTTGGGACACAAAGCAGGCTTTTTTATGTACTGACTCTATCGCGAACTGATCGAGTAATACCAAGCTCCTGGCCAATGACAGATGAAGAAATTAGGTTGTCACCAAAATTCAAATTGGTATCAATACGCGCCATGGACGGGAAAAATATCTTCACAAGAAAGGGAAAATCAAGAAACTAGAGTTCCCGGGACTCGCGAGGCGCATGAAAAATTGGCGGGCCAGATGTCCCAAATGAGCGGTGTTTTACTCGATCATTACTCGATCGAAACTCGCAAGTGAAGCTTAGACGACGCCTCTGGTGCAGCAGCGGCAGTGGAGCCCGAAGCAATAAGCACACCGACGCAGGACCAAAGCAGGGGGGGGGATTCAAGGCTCTGGGCCAGCCAGAAGGGCAAGCCTGAGCCATAGAAAAATAAGCCTCCGATTTTCCCGAGAACGGCCGATGAAGAGTCAAGACGGCGATGGGGCCTTGATATGTACTTTGTGATGGAATTGCCAGTGTCAAAGAAATCAAGAGGCATTTAAAGCAGCGCATGCTTTTCCTCATTCGCTCAAACTGGGATGACTAAGGCGTTCTAGATCGGGAAACGGCTGTGTCCGATGACACAACCATCCAATCAGCTGCGGCTGATAACGACAAGGGAAGACTTTCAAGTTCTTTCAGGGTTCCCCGGGGTCGCGTTGAGATTGTCGATAGGGTCCCTTCACCCCCACACAACGGACACGAACCCCAGTTGCAGAAAAGCAGAGGCCGGCGGCACGGGGTTCAGTGATCACTATTGGAGCGCAGGTTGAGCCTTGAGCGGGCTTTGAGTCGACTTGAAGAAGGTCGATGACGGGGTAGAGGACCCCCGGCACCGGGGGCCCGAAGGAGAAGGAGATGGCGGTGGGAGAGGGCTAAGCTACTTACCTTACTCAGACTCTGGAGACTGACGGGAGGGTCTTATCCTCGTTGGGATTGGCTCAGTGGCTGGTCCCCTTGGACTTCCCGTGTTCCCCCTTTGTCAGATGTTGTTCCTGTCACTTCAGAGGACGTTATCTTATCGGAAAGACGAACTGGAAATGGAAGCCCAGAAGAACGAATGGAATGGGACCCGTCCTAATCACGGCTGGACTTTCGGGGTGGGCCGTGGATCGAGCCACGAACGGCTTTCTTCTGAGTGAGATTCGGACGGGGAGCTGTTCTTCTTCTTTCTCCCCTTCCTCTTCTCTCTCTTCTTTTCTCTACTCAACTTCTCCTTGAATTATCATCACCTTGCCTTTACTTTGGGACTTATAATAATTCAAACTACTACACAAGACCACTCACTTTTACTTGAGCGTTTAGATAGTCATCACAAAAGATCACCCAAAACACCTTACACACCTTCAAACCCTTGAAAGCCACACCAGCCATATCTTATCTCTCTCATCACCCCGCCACCCCGCGATCAAGATAAGCTTCGCTCTTCTCCAGACGCAACAGCAAGCTATCCAAGAACGTCCACCGCGGGGAGAGCTCTTCAGATACCGCGGTATTTCCCTTATCGGACCTCCCCAAGCTTCCAAGATAAGCTTATCACAAACAACCCCTCCATCACTCTCGTCTCTCTTCTCTCTTCACCATGACGGCCTCTCAAGATACCACCACCACCACCACGACGCCCCTCGTGGTCCTGGTCTCGACGAGGGCAGTCCTCACCTTTGAACAAGACAACCTCGTCCTCACACCCGCAACGATAACAGTCTCACCCGCTACCGGCAAGATCGTCAACATCGTCCCAGCAGTTCTGCCCAAGACCTCCTTCCCGGCCTCCACCGAGTACATCAACTACGGCTCAAAGCTCCTGTTGCCCGGTCTCGTAGATGCTCATGTCCACCTCAACGAACCCGGCCGCACGGAATGGGAGGGTTTCTGGACCGGCACGCGGGCTGCCGCCTCGGGCGGCGTGACGACGGTTGTCGATATGCCTCTCAACGCTATTCCGCCCACCACAA